GGTGCTTCCCCCACGCAGCCCACGGAGCAGCGCTGCCGCGACTCCTCGCCTCGGAAGCTGGGCAGGAAAATCCAACCATGTCGTGCTGAGGCTGTGCAACCTGGTGTTCGGGATTAATGCACCAAGCGTTTGCACCAAGAGTATTTGCAGTCCAGGAGAAGGCAGGGCAAGCTCTCAAAAACCAGATCGATCCTATCCAAGAAAGAAAAATTTCTGTGGCGTGAGTTGTTGTGCAAATACAGGGGGATTGAGGGTTTTGGTTTGTTGGCCTTTCCAGTGTCCAACAGAGCAGCTGCCTGCCAAGGCGAGGCTATGGAGGCAGACGGTGTTACTGCGGTCCCGGTGCATGGAGGTAGGTGCGTGGCAATCCCTGGGAGCTACGACCCACAGCGTCCCTGTGAACGGGGCTGTTAGTGCAGGGCTGTAACCACTGCTCACTTCTGTGCTTTCCTGCTGACTTACCTCCTTCCAACGGTTCTTGCTCCCCAGACGGATCCCTGCAGAGGCCGGGGCAAGCAGGGACCCCCGTGCAGGTTGCCGGCTCCCTCAGGCGTCCTCCCACGGCTGCGGTGCGACCTCAGCAGTTTCAGCTTTATCAGCACGTCAGCCCCCAGCCGCACAGCATCCCTCCTGGAGCTGGCATGGCCGAGGCAGGAACAAGGCCAAACTTCTCCCACGATGCTTCACCGGCGCTTGTGGTCAGAGGAGTGGAAAGCAGAACTCCCTCTGTGTGCAGCTCGGTGATCCTGGATGCCAAAGACCCTCCAGCAAAGAGCGAGGCAGCTCCAAAGCCACCTGCGTCAGCCCCGCCATCCATCCTGGTGAAACCAGACACCTCCCGCAACAGCGCCGAAAAGGTACGGTCAGGGTTACCTGCTGCTTCAGAGGGTCCCCCCAGTCCTCTTGGGACTGGCATTCAGCGTCAGCCCAATATTGACCCGGGCCAAATGCCTTGAGGGCTTCACTCCATTCTCGCCAGGTTTTCTTCTGACAGAAATCACTGGGATTGGTACCTGCATTAAGAAATCAGATATTTGCGTTGCCGACTCTGCTGTTCAGATTAAGCCCTTTAGAAAGGCAAGATGCTGCAGGAACCTTTTAGTGTAAACCAATGTTCATTTGTGATCAAATCTTGAGACTTTTCTGAAGTCTTAAATCAGGCAAGAATCCCACCAAGGTCCCCCAGAGTTTGGGAGCGAATGAGCAAATGCCACAGACCATAGAACGTATGTCGGGCTGATCTCTACAGATCTTCTACCATCTCCCCCACCTTGCTTTGGCTGAGCTGTTTGGAAAGGAAATTTCTTTCCCCTGTGGCAGCCAGAGGGAAATTTCATAAAGATAAAATCATTCTGCAAATTGTCCTAGTGATGACTTTCCCTTCTCGTGGCACCCAAAGAGTAAATCGCTCCATGAGTCCCTGAAAGCCCAACTGACCTTGGAGCTCCCAGGAGGAACATCATCAGCTGGAGAGAAACCACAGGATCTCCATGAGGGGCACGGCAGGACAGGCCACCCGCCCCCCCTCGTGTCGTGCTGCCAACTACTCTTCCCCTCCACGCTCTCCCACTGACTCGGGTGAGGGACTGACTCTCCTAGGTCTCTGTGACAGCTGATGGCACCGCTGCACCACGCTGTGCCATTCCCTGGTGCTCTCTTCCACCTTCTATCAGCTGCACATCACACTGGGCTTCTCCACAGGCATCCTCAGCCCCCGGGAAGGAGCCAGCCGCCCCCTCAGCTCACCCTCCTGGTTCTCCAGGGCAGATCCCAGCAAGGAGGGCGGGTGGCTGCATTTCCCACCGTGACTCTGGTCTCCTTCTCGTTGCAGCAAGTGAAGACAGTGAGGTTCCAGAACCACAGCCCCCCACC